GGGTGAACTTATGTAGCGTATTGTGGTGGTTAAAATTTATCTCTCTCCTTATTATTTACTAATTTCTTATTTATATATATATATATATATATAGTATAGATTATAAGCAAGCCCTTGAAATGTTATGCGAGCAAGTGCAAGAGGAAGAGACACACAACCAATGATTTTCATTTTACTTTATTGTGTTCGGGAACTTTGTGCACGCATCGTTTGCTACAGGAACGACACGAGCCCCTATTAGGTCTACAACTGGCAATTTAAACTGCAGGTGGAGAAAAAAATACTATCATAGACGATCGAGACTTGATTTGCTTAGCTCGCGGGGCTAGAGCTATGCAGAAAAGGGCTATTGAAGAACGAAAGTGACTGGAAACGGATCAGAGAAACGGAATCTGTATGAGAGAGAACAGAATAAAATGAAGGCAGCGGAATTGATCGCACTGAATAAAGAAGCTAGTGGTGCTACAGAATGACACAGACTTTCTCGTACTTGTTTGTTTTCTAATTTCTTCTGGTCTGGACTATCCACATTCTGTAGCCAACTGCCGTCTATAGCTACCCAAAGTACTTTTTTTTTTAAATTTCTCAATTTTTCGGTTTCATAATATAATCGAAATATTACTCTATTAAGAATATCCACTTTTTAATACCAGTGCCCGACAATTATAATTTTTTTCTGTCATAAATTCGCCGAGATTCGTCGCAACATTAAAATACTTTCCCTTTATTACATGAACGGAATAAGGCGAGATTAAAAACATATTTAGTCTGTGCACGAAGTAGAAAGGACCAAAAGACGCGGAATGAATGAAAATTTGTGACGATTGACGATCTGCGCCTGAGATCAAACATTGCAGCAGCCACTGTGACTAACGAACAATAAAGATTTCATATTTCTCTCATGAGCGCAAGGAAGCGTTTGTACCTTTATGTGTTTGCAGACATGTTCGCATTTAATTAAGTTCATCAGCTCTGAGTTTAGGTATTGCTGTTTGTCTTATATAGCATCTACCCCAAAGACTGACAATTCAAACAGGGCATATTGTGGGGCCTCATTATAATCATAAAAATGTAGAACATGATCGGATTTTCTCAAAGTGTCATAATGCATCGGCTCTACCTCGTCTTTTATTTGGAAGAGACCTGGTATTACTCTTCATTTCATTATATTAATGTAACAAATGATACATTGCTCTCTTCAGATATTTACGTACAAAACACCAATTAACTTCAAATATTAATTGTGAA